AAATAACTTTGATTGAAACAGATTCCAAACCAGATTTTAACAGTAAATTTAAAAAGTGGTTTATTATCAAAAATCACTCTTGTCAGCATTATTTTATTAAAATCGTTTCTAGTTTTTTTTTTTCAGATTTAGACTTTTTAGAATGCCAGATATTTTTTATTGTTTGCTCTCATAAGTTTCTGCAATTTCAAGACAATGCATAAAATTTTAATGTATATTGGAGCAAATCTTTAATTTTTTTTTTGTTAAAGTTTTTTAATGCCCTTGCTCCTTTTTCTTTAGGAGATTTTACCAATTGCAATAGTATTATTATTTGTTATTCTCTGATCTGTTGCCATCTCCTAATTTTGCTGCAAAGATATTTAATTCTTCATGTATAGCTCCTATGGATAAGTTAAACTTAAGTGTTAGTATTAAAATACTACATTAAATAACGCAAGTTGCTGAAAGCGCTTATAATAAGTTCAAGTAAGTTCAATAAACTCAGAAAACTTTTCGGGTTTTGAATAATTTCGTGAAAACGCAAGTGATGTCTTTTTTAGAGTTGCATCCACTATCGATCAATTATCTTTAGAAGCTATTCAAGAACTAAATGATCTTTCAGTTATCGGTTTGTATTAAATGTCTGGGACATTTTGACTAGTTTGTCTCGAAATAATTTAAGGTGGTGTATCATGAGCACGCGAAACATGAGCATTTTTATGATCATGAACATGTTGACGCCGACAAACACAAAGGCTTCTGGTCAAGTTTGTGGAGTAGGCGCAGTTTTGACAACGATCAAATTGATGCTCACCAATTAGCTTATGCCGGTCATAAGCTTTAAATTTTTTTGTTATATTTTAATCAGGATAATTGTTTAGTTTAAAGTCATGGTATGGAAGATTTACTTATATACCATCGACAAAATTAATATGTGGATTATAGTCAATTTGTAATTATATATACCAAGAATTTAAAGGCCAGTTTGGACGCGAAGATCTAGCTACGGATGCTGGTTCCACCATGATATTGGCGACGCAATGATTAAGAAGGCGTATTTGATCATTTTGAACGTTTAATAGATCTAACTATAATTTAGTAATGTATCCTGGCTTGAACTGGTACTAGACAATTTTTTTTAAACAATTCAAGAAGAAAGTAATTCTGGAGACAAGTTATGCGGCTTTAATCCTGCGTCGTCAATCTTTTTAGACACTAGCAGTTCTTTAGCTATCGATGATTATTTCGTAAAGTTATTATAAGTTATAATTATTGAAATAAGAAAATTTTAGTTTCGTAGAACATCGATACATCAACGTTAATTTAAGATAATATCATTATTATCATAATTATTATTATGAACATTATAGTATTTTTCATAAGTATCACCGCATATGTATCGTATTTGTTTATTTATTTGCACAATATGATTGTAATCATACACTATTTGTTTTAGAATGTTCCCTAATTATGAGATCCTTTTTTATTATTTAGATAAATTACTATGTGTTTTTGTTACTAATGACTATATGTTTGCATGTTTTAATATTAGAGTGAGTAAAAGTTTGTCTATATTAAACATTTTTGCTCTTCTTTGGAAGCTAATACTCTAATTGAAATATAATTTTTATAATGATAGTATTCAAATAAGTGACAAACATTTACTTTAATACTTATTCCATTTTGTAATGCACTAGTTGCATTAGTTGCAAATTAAATTTTATATTGTAAAGAGCTTATTGCCTAATTATGTATATATAGTTATAACGATAATCGTTTAATATTATATAGTTTGCACTTATATTATTCTCATGGAAATACATCTAGAATCACATTTGCTTCTACATTTACAACCATCACACATTACAATTTCAAACACCACTAATTAGTACTATTTACAAAAAACATAATACGTACAAATATTGTTAAAATAACAGTAAATGATAAGAATATTAGTCTTGAAATACTGATACGAACAGATAATTTGTATACTATTAATTGATTTTTACATTTCGCATCGTAATTAATAAATATTGAAATTTTTATGTCCATGAAAAAGGTAATTGTTCTCCGAAAAATTTTTGCTATTCCAGATAATTTTCTCACTAAGTCAAATTCAAATGTAACTTTTTTCGTTTTATTATTATTATCAAATCTTATTTATGAAAATTTATTATAATTATTTTAGTAATGCTTTATTACTAATATATTAATAATTTTCAAGATTATTAATGACATAAATAACCGTTTTATAAAAACATACGATCTTTATTTGTAGATCAGCTTATCATTAGCTATTTGTACAAATGTCACTGCCAATTAATTTTCCACGTTTATTAATGATTATTTCAAAATCAGAAATATTAAAAAATAAAACCTTTCATTATCGGATAAAGTGCACCTAGTTCAGTGCAATTTTGGGTAGTTATTTGGGCACACGATAGTTATGTCACTAAGTAAGTGTCTAAACTCAGTTTGTATTAACTACATATTACTCTCTAATTACATCCTAATTCTTTTCGGAGTTTGAGAAAAATGTACTCCTTTCTGACATTTTTTTTATTCTTGTCTTATTTAATTAATTTGTCAAAAGCTATAGTGTGTTCTATTATATTGAACGTTTCAAGTGCTTTGCAGTTACTTGCAATTAATTTTATATAAAAAAAATGTAATTAAAGGTAAATGTTTTAAAGCCAAATTGTATAGCAATTGTAATAGCAATTGTAAAACTTTTATGTGAACAAGTGTGCAGAACCCAGGCAAAAAACTTGTTTCTGATATGCCTTTACCACTTGCTTGAAAATTAAAATTTTCCTATACGAAAATGCACTTTTGGGTGTGCTATAAGGATTCATCAAACCCATTTACACTTATACAATTCATAAATATATCACATATAAACAATATACGCCAAACTGAAACCCTCAATCTCAGGTGGTCTATTATGAGCACGCCCAGCATGAGCACCATTACGACCACGAGCATGAGCAGGCCGAAGAGGGCGGTTGGGGTGATAACTCTTGGAAAAGGAGTATCGCCGGTGGCGATCCGACCCTTAATGCTCAACAGTTAGCTTACAGAGGACAATTACAATACTAGGAACAATTAGAACACGCCATATATAATTTTATGTATTTATTTCAAAGCCGCTTTATGTGGTGCCAATTGTAATGGACACATCTTGGTGAGAGTAAAATTGTTTGTTGGCTAATTGGCATCACGTAAATCGTTATTTATTTTAAGTTATGTGCATAATTTTATAAGGGACAAGAAGGAAACATGAAAATTTCATGGACGATCGATGAGGTTTATTAGTCATCTAAAATATCAAATTCATTTATGGTGGATACTTTAATTTTCATAGTTATGTACATTGAATATATCATTTGATTTATTCATACTGTTATTTATAATTTGACTTATTTATACAATTTTTATTTATTTTAAAAATTGTATTAATTTATTGTGTTTTTGATAGCTTCTTAATCTTAATTATTTCAACCTTAGGAAGCATAAATTGAAAAGTTATTTTCACCAGACTTGATATGTGTATTTATTATTACTATTATCATTGCAACGTTATATTTTATATTATGATTTAAATAAGACTCAAGATTAAAAGTGTGTAGTTTGCTAGTTATTAGTTCAAAATATATATTGTTACGTTTCTCGTTATTTCAGCAATTTATTTGGATAAATTGTGTGAAAGTACGGATTTGCGTTATTATCTCTAATATTATATTGTCCGTGAAAAAAGCGATTAGCACTGTAAATTATTCATGAACGCTTTTGTATCCCTGTATATTTTTTTCCAAATTTCCTAGATTAGTATAGTCATAATTATTTATTTAATATTTTATTTATTTATTTATTTTTTATTGTTATAATTTTATTTTATTTAAGTTATATAGATATGTAGATAATTTTAATTTATTTAAGTTTTAGACTCTGTATATAATAAATTTATAAAATCTTTTTTTTATTTTTATTTTTTTTATATTTTTTATATTTTTAGTTCACATTCTTTACAATTTCAAAGATATTTTTATTTTATATAAGCATCTATATATATATATATATATATATGAGTGAGTTCTTGAGGGCGATACATCAAACAAAGAAAAGCCAAAGATTTATAAAGTAATCTTTATTTCCAAACGTTTCGACATTCAATTTAATGTCATCATCAGTGGATCTAAAACAGTTTTTCATACTGTTTTTAGATCCACTGATGATGACATTAAATTGAATGTCGAAACGTTTGGAAATAAAGATTATTTTATAAATCTTTGGCTTTTCTTTGTTTGATGTATCGCCCTCAAGAACTCACTCATATATTTCAACATCAAAATTAACTACTAAATCATATATATATATATATATATATATATATATATATAATAAAATCAAAATAAAATTAATTTTTATAAATTTTCATACGTTTTGATCTTCAGGTTGACCCTTCGAGAGAAAAAAACATTGCAAAAATACATAAATTGATTTAAAAAAATATAAAAGTACATTGAACAAAAAATTTGGGCAAGAGACATATTAGTAGTAAAAAACTATATATTTAATTTAAGAAAATTGAATTTTTGCTATTAATATATTTATTATAATTCAATTGTCTTAAATTTAATATATATTTTTTTTAATAATATAACTCTTATTTCAATCCAATATGTTGAATGAACGTAGATGATTTTAATATTTTTTTAAAATAATTTGTGTCTTTTATTGATGAGATTTTGCTGATGAGAGAGTGCTTTTTATTTATGAGAAAATAGAAGCTATTTGCATAATTATAATGTTTTTGTAATTTTATTTTATTCCAATTATTTTGCATATGCAAAACCTCATATTAATTCGCAGTAAAACGAGTTCTGAAAATATTTATATTAGTCCAATTGGACGTTTGTTGATCAGATTTGCGTTCCCCTCGCAATTTGAGAGGAACTGATTTAATGTTTGATGGTTGTAAATAAGTATGACACTGGTTTCATTGTCAGTTGCGATTAGTGTCAGATTCAGGACAGTGTTTATTAATATACTGCGGTTTGTATTTTACTTTTTATTCAATAAAATTAATAAAACATCAAGTAAAACATCAAGCATGCACCCTTGCAGATTAAAATGTTTATGCTCGACTGATCAACATTGTTTTTGAAACATCTTTCGCTTTAATGTGAATATATTTTTTTTATTATTGTTGTATTGTTGAAATCGGTTTTATTTTAAAATCAACAATTGCTTGTTTATAATATAGTTAGTCCACAGTTCGATAAATATCACTTGTAACATCTAAATATTTTCATCAAATCATTCTTCCATTCTCGTTGATTAAATTCAGAAGTATACCTCTACGTACGAGAATATATTTAGAATGCACGTTTTTATCCATGTTTTAACATAAAATTCAAGATATTTAACAGTTATTATGACCGTGAATAGAATGTGTGAAATTAAATTGTACGGAAGCAATAAATTATGCAGTAGAATATAGTCATAACACCCCATTTCGCTTTATATTGCAAGTTTTATTCTGAAAATTATGCACGTTATTTCAAGTTCAAGAGAAATATATGTTATAAAAGTTTTTGTACACATTTCACAGAAAATAATACTATGATAAATCGAGACTTGTTTCTAAAAAATGTTCTAAAAAAATTGTTAAATTAGTTATAACAAAACCCCGTTAAGACGATTTACCAGGGGTAGTACCAAAAACGCACCTTAGTAAAGTAGAGTATAAATTTCAAAGGCAAAAGGCAGTAAAATCGTCTTATCGGAGTTCTACTATATTACAAAAAAAAATACAATAGTAAAAAATATAAGATATAATAATATATAATATAATAGATGTAAAAATATTACATTATAGAAGAACAATACTGTTTTTACATATAATTCTTTGTTATTAATCTAATTTTAATTTAAGAATCTGCAAGCCAGTTTTGTCCAAAAAATTTCGATGATCTGCTAATGGCTGGACCACAAAGAAATATTATGAAAAAATATATAATAAATTAAAAATGTATATATTTTTATAAATGAAAATTATTTTACAGGTTTACTGAAAGTTTATAAATATGAAAGTATTTTTCATTTCCTTTTGTTTATGCCTGATTATTCTCAATGAACTGGATGCAATGCGAGGTATTTAAAATTAATATAATTCTGAAATTGTTATGAATTTATTTAAAACTTATTGTACTAACTAATTTAAATATTTCTATTTCAGTAATTCCAGGAGGTCGATATGGAAAGCACAATTACAAAGGAAAACAGCCTGAAAAAATACAATATAGGAACCCGGCAGCTATTAACTATTATGACCACAAAGATGTAAATTTAATTTAATGAAGTTTAAGATTTATTAAATCACTTATTTAATTATATATTACGAATTTGCTTTATATTTATATTTTTTTCTTGAAGTAATTAATGTAATAGTTTTGATTTTAGGGAGCCAAAATAGTTAAATCATCACACTTCGAATTAGATTATATGCTAGGAAGAAAAATCACATTTTTCTGCATGGCTCAAGGTAAAATATTATAATTATCTAAAAACAGCATTTTATGATAAATAGAATTGCATAGATATTAAATGTTGATATGAAGAAAAAATTTCATAAATATTTTTCTAATGTTTTTTTATAAATTATAGGATTACCGCGACCTTCAATCACTTGGTTTAAGGATGGAGTTGAGTTGTTTCATCACCGATTTTTTCAAGTAATTATTTCAATCAGATACTAATATAATTAACATATAAATTTTAAATAATAATTAACATAAAATAAATTTAGGTTCATGAATGGCCGATGGGAAATGATACTTTGAAATCCAAAATGGAAATTGATCCTACGACCCAAAAAGATGCAGGTTAGATTATTGGATATAAATATATATATATATATATATATATATATATATATTTACCTTTTTAAATATCTAATTTATTATCTAATGATAACAAACGCTGAATATTTAAAATATTTTAATATAATAGTTGCAAATTTCTAAGATCACTTCGTTTCTTCTCAGCAATATTTCAATAACTAGTAATAGTTTTATTATAAGATGTTACAAATAAATTATTTTATAATAAAAAAAAAATTGTCAAAGTTAATATTGCTGCAGATTGAAAAATAACAATTTATACAATATGTGTGAATAATAAAATATTAGAACAATTTGTCAAGACTGGACAGTCTTACAGTAAGACTTACTTAGAGTAAGACCTTTACTCCTAGATATTATTTTTATTCCATTATTTTTTTTACAAATAGTATAATGTTAAGGAAAAAATTAAATTTAACGCAGTGGAAAATGGGTATGGTTTACCTCAGTCATATTATTTTATAATTTTTTATTAATATTATTTATAAAAATATTAGTCAATTTGATGTTTTTATCCTCCAGGATATTACGAATGTCTGGCAGACAATCAATATGCAATAGATAGACGAGGATTTCGAACAGATTACGACATGATTGCTTATTAAATTATTTCATATTTAATATTATTTAATTAATCAATGATTATATGGTTAAAAACATCAATCTAATATTAAAATTTAATCATGTAATAATGTAATACTAATATGATAGTATTTATAAAAGATCGAGCTTTACAAACATTATTATGCCTATTATGCTTATTTCTTGTATCGTCGTTTACATAAGTTTAATTGTTGTATAATTAGTTACTTTACATATTGATTTAGGACTTAAATATATAAGTTAATATTATAATACTTAAAATATACAGTTTTGTAAAATAATTTCATGATTTTTTACCACGTTATATATAATTTAGCCAAAACCGGTTACGTGGGGTAAGTAAAATATTAATCAAGCTTAAATAAAATTCTATTTATTACCATATGTTGTCCAATACTTTGTTATTATAATATACTATATTGTAATACTTACAATTATATTTTTCAAAGAATCAGACGTTTATTGTTAATAACAGTACTGTTTAATTTTATAGTACTAAACATGTTGTTTACTTTTGTGTTGTAATTACGACATATATATGACACATTTTATGCGCAATTAAAACTTTAATGGCTATTTTCAACAGATTGTTTTATGAGCTTTATGTAACACTTTTAACTAAATAAAATAAATTATTTGTGATATAAAAGTGAAAAGTGAAATATATTACTGATAATTAATTATTATCAGCACGAGATCTTTATTTTTTCGCCGGACAATCCGATTTGGTAATTTTATGAATTCTTTACCTTTCAAGTTATTCTGAATCGTTGGACTCGGAAATATTACATTTGATACAACTTGCTTTTAGACACATTGCCACTTACACCCATGCTGTATTTTATTGGTACTCATGAGTAAGTTATATTTGAATTTACATACATAAAACAAAAATATTGTTGAGAGAATCTACTGGTAATTGTTGTCTTTCTGAAATGAGGTGAAGGTTTTTTCTTGATGCCTAATTTTATATATGACTTTTTTTATTTTTATTTCTAATTTTCAATGTGCTGCGAAAAACAAAAAAATATTCTGAATACATAAAAATTATCTATGATTCTGAATCTAAAAGACAAATTTGATTTATGTCAAAAATATTTCGAATATTTAAAACAGAAGTTTATAATATGACTATGAAATAAAATTAACGTTTATAATATATAATTATTAATTAATCCTAATTTTTCTAAAGCAATCTCATTATGACGTTTTGTAATTCTTTTCAATAATTGATTGATTGTAATCAGTAGCTACCTACGAAACACGTAACGTATATAGATGTTCGCCATAAATTTTTATTAGAATCGCCAAAGCGCCAATTTAAATTCTAACCATTGATGAAGTTTTATAATTCAACTGCTTATAGTAGACCTACAGAATTTTAGTATATACTATACTTGCACTTAATTTTATTTCTTATCTATAATTACAAACTGAAATATCAACAACTATCTGAACAAAGTACCGCTCAAGTATATGGAAATATTGTTACATTTATATATTATGTTCAAGAAAGTTGTGCCATTTTTGACGAGCTCTACAGGCTACATGATTGTATTAGAATGCTGTAATTTGGGTATTTTATTCACTATAGAATCTACTATAAATTTTATTTCTTATCCATAATGAGAAACTGAAATATTATCAATTATCTTAACAAAGTACCTATTAAATTATAGAAAATAGTGTGATATTCACATACTAAGTATAGTGTCATTTTTAACGAGCTCTGCAAGCTACACCATTAGCACTATATTGCATTCCAGACTACAAATCTATCGTTATTCAATGTTTCATCAAAATGGGAAAAAAATAATTAACAAGACACGACCCGGCCGATCTTTACCAAAAACTCCCAACCAATTTCTCTCGAAGAGTTTTTGAATTTTTAAAATCGGTGCAGGATTATGTACGATAATTGTAAACGAAAAATTTTACACTTTTCTGCTAATTACAAAGAAACAGCTTGGTCTATTGTCATACAAAACTCAGTACATTGAAAATTTTGGTATAAATCCAACAGTTTTTGTAAAAATGTCGACAGAAGGTTAAAATTTGGATCATGTGTACACACACATACTTTTGCTAAATTTGGCCTCATTCGACACAGGATTTTTTTTTAAACTCTGTTCAGAAATCAGAAATACATAAAGATTCTTATGAGCTAAATTGAGAATATTTGAGAGCTATGTCTAAGAAGAACTCCAATGAGATCTTCTTAGTCTAACAATTGATACAGAATGACGAGGAATGTTTTTAGCATCATTCAAAAACCATGCTTTGGTGGTATCATTCGGCAACAATATATATTTAAATTATACAGTTATCATTTAAATTCACGGCCATTTCAATTTATCATATAAAAATTACATACTCTATTTTAAATTCCTACAACTGAGTGTATTATTCCGTTTCATGTCGGGTGGAAACCAGTTGTTCTATTTCGACGCGTACCGTTGTGGATTTAATTTGATAGAAAGCTATCAGCCAAATCGAGACCCCTCGTTTTAAATGGCTTATTAAGTACAACTGAACACACTGCGTAGATCAAATTGCTCTTCCTAATAACAACAAATTCAAAACAAATGACATTGCACAGCGAAAAGGGCACCAGAGCTCTATTAGCCCAGGCCGGCCGGTGACACAGCCTGATTCCCGGTAACAGTTCAATACGAAGATCGATACAAATAATCGAAATTGTTGACCGAAATAATAATTAAGTGATTAATATAATAATTATCAGTCGTGATGAAATGGGGTATTATTTTGTGTGTCCTCTTACTTGTTGGCCCAATACAAATTGGGTCCAGGAGAGGAAGGACCAGATCGAGGACCAAATCTAGGGTGAGTAGAAACAACTCTCATAAACTAATTTTACTAAGTTTAAGGATTTTTTAAATGTTGGTGAAAGAAAATAGTGCATAATATAATATGTTAAAAAAAATTTACATGCTTATTAATAACAGGATTAAACAGATTTATTATTACTCGAATCAGGTAATAAGTCTAATTACTATTTTGCTAATTTCAAATAATTTTTTTTTGCAGATGCAAATTGGTTTACCTATAACTGGCAAATATAGAGATAAGGATTCGGATCAATATTATAACAATAATAACGTGAGTATATAATTCTTATTATTAATAAAAATTACAGTCTAGATAAGTGGATATATTGAAGCTATTGTACCTACCAAAAATTTTACAGGTATCATTTACTGTATTGTGGCATAAGTTAAATATTTATTCGATTGAAAATATTCTTTTGTTTAAATATATAATCTTTGGTTAAGAAAATACGTTTCAATTTTTCATACTATTTTTGCCTTGGTTTAAGGAAAGTGTTCAATACACAATATATCATTCAAAATAATACTAGTAATTTTTTTTAAGATCAGCAATATAAAATAATTTTATAATATGAATATGAAACAAAATTAACATTTATGATATAAAATAATTAATGCTTATTTTTTCTACTTGTGATCTCATTATGATGTTTTGTAATTCTTTTCAATAATTGATGTCTTTATCTTCCTTTTTCTCAACTGTAATCAGTAGCTTGATGTTAAAAGCTTTGGTATATGGTATCTTACAAATCTGAACATATTTTATTTAATATTATATGGTATTAACGTTTAGGGAACATAAATTTTGTTAGCTTAAAAAAATTGTTAGCGGGATAAATCGTAAATACTAAAAACCACTAAGGGTCCATTAATCACTTGATTGACTTTTTAAGGTTTTTAGGACCGCACCTCATCCTTAGATATATGTGGTGATATCCAAAATTATTCTCCCCTTCCTCACCAAACGTCACGTATATTTTTAATTTCGAGAAAAATTTCTAAAATTTTTGATTATTTTTTCAAAATGTTTGAATTTTTTTAAAAAAAATCAGGTAAAAAATAAATACACGTATTTTTAGCGTAGTATACACGATATTTCGTGAGCTTTTGTCAAACTCCCCCTCCCCCTAATAACCTACGTCCCCTAAGGTAATATAATGGTTATTAACCCTTTCCACTCGCGAGTTGCGAGATTTATATGTATTTTGCCTGCATCCGAGTGGAAAGGGTTAAGGTAAATCTTTCATGTGTGTTGCTCTGAAAATCTTGGTATAATGCTTTATTATTATCACTGTCTTATTAAATTTCAGGGTGCAAAAATATTGTTAGCCTCACATTTTGATTATGAATACGTTCTGGGTCACAAAATAGCTTTTCTGTGCATCGCTAAGGGCTCTCCGAGACCTCATATAACATGGTTTAAAGATGGTATTGAAATTTTCACGCATATCTATATGCATGTAAGTATACAATTGTGCTAATCAGCTTTATTATTAATATTTGTCATCATAAATTATTATTTTGTAGGTACACGAATGGAGAATGGGTGCTGACAAAGTTAAATCTAAAATTGAGATAGATCCTGCTACACAAATGGATGCTGGAGTTTATGAATGCACAGCTGATAATATGTACTCTATAGATCGTAGGAGTTTTAAAACTGACTTCTCTATTGTATTTGATTAATATTAATATAATATTTATATATTTTTGTATAAAAATATGAATAAAAAAATATAAATATTATTACCTTAGGCAGTAGAATGCAAACTAAAATAATAATATAATTACTAATTAATTTAAACCAAATACAGAACGTGATAAATATTTATTGTTGACTATTAGTAAAATAGATTTTTATAAAATAATATATCTTATAAAGTTTAATATGAAATATTAACCCTTCCACTCAGATGCCGCCGCTCCGGCAGCCAAATTCATACAATTCTCGGAATTCGCGAGTGGAAAGGGTTAAACATATGGAATCCTGGATTATATATTATTTGTAACTAAGTTTTACATTCGATCTTAAACTAATATATATGAAACTCGTATATTAGTTGTAGTTTTATATAGAATCAAAATATATAAAAATATATTTATGTGCCGAATTATAGATACTCATATGCAATAAATCGATACATACAATATGAGACATTTTGTCCATTATTACCTTATTAATTAATCATTATGCTAATACAGTTTAATAATTTAGTATAATGTTATCGTAAAATATAATAATTAATTTAATTGTAATATTTATATTGCAATAATATATCAAAATTTTTGTTCACTGGCAAAAGCTGGTTTCACGTTTTAGAACTTCAACATGAACTTGTATAGCATATAAAAAAATAAAAATTGAAAACATTTTTGTGCCCAATATAGCCTGAAAAGATAAAATTGTTAATTTATATTGCCAATTGAATATTTTCTTAAAATTTAAGGTTTATTACCTATGAAGTTTTCGCCTAGCATAAGGAAGAGTTTCTAATCCATCTCGCAGTACATATTTTCTTATTCCTAGCATGTAGACTTCTATATAAGCTGGCCAATCCATTGTGGATATATCGGTTAAGAAACGTGGAGCATCTTGTGTCTTAGAAACCGCTGAATTCAAGCTTCGAAGATTGTTTTCACGAAATTCCCATTGATTCGTTGCGAAATATTCACCAGCCTTAGCTGCTGTTTTAAAACGTCTTGCTATCTTGGTCATACTGGGAATGGATTGAGAACCTTCTTTACTATTTATAAAAAAACTATTATATATATTACTATTAAAAAAAATCACGAACGGTGATAATTCAGCTCAAAAAGGTAAGAATCGATTTCAATATCATATACACCAGTACCACTGATAATAATTCAATTTATTTCATTACATGGGTTTTGCGCCTCTGATGCGGAGAAAGGTATCCAAAACCATTGCTGGCAGCATGTGCAGAAGTGTTTCCACAAGTCTGTGCTGAATTCTGCTCAACCTGTAACTGAAGCCTGGATAAAGGACTGCGTGTCTGGTGGGGTTCCGACGGGCGCACTGGACAGTCAGTTGACCCAGGCGTCTCCAGGTGATCGGGTTACTGGATCCTGATGTGCAGTTGTATACCCTTGGTGAGAATTCTATCCGTTTACTAAAAAAATGAAATTGAGATATTAATAAACAATCAATGTATTAAGATAAGTTATTAGTTTATCGCTTACTTGCAAATATTTACTGATTCCCAAGCACTACAAATTAGAACATCAGCCACGAAATCTACAGGTACCAAATCTACTATTAGATTCTCATCGCAAAATATACTGCTAATAGTTCCGCGTCCAATTTCCATCATAATTCCTATGGATAGACAGTAAAATTAAAATTGTGTTTTTGCAGATTATTTTATTTATTTCCTTGTGCAAATATTGTTTATAATATTTACCAGTGATGCCAGATATATTATCAACCCATCCAGGAAAAGGTTCAGACCTAGCTGCTGTAACTATAGTAAAGTTTAGTATATTTACAATTGTGTGTTAACATTTTGATTAGTTTTTTTGAAATTTTAGTAATTACAAAGTCTTTTACGTGTTAATTATCTTACCAATAGATGGACGAACAATTGTAACAGGTATTCGATGACTGTAAGACAGAACAACTTGTTCTGCAAGTTGTTTGCTTAAAGTGTAAGTGTTAGGATGTCTTCCCTAAAATTTCAAACAATTTCCATAAAAATCCAATTACTTCATTTAATTGACTTTTATTATTTACCAATATTCTAGATGTGATCGATGTGGGCATGTCTGATGACCAGTTTTTGACATTATCTACTAAATGAGTCCATTGAATATCTGGAGTTCCTACAGTTTCTTCAACAATGGCATGGCCTGGATAGCAATATGCTGTGGATACGTGGACTACCATCTAAAAATTGATTGATATTGCTGAATAAATCTTCAATTGATGCAGGTAAGTGTTATTTTTTAGGCTTTTGCATCTAGATGCTCAACTTTGCTAAACAATTGATTTTATTATTAGTGCTTTTGTAGCATAACAAAAAATGTAGAGCTTTGGCTAATATTTAATAAGTAGTCTGTTGCATCTACAAAAACAATTGTATCGTCTTAGTTTGTATTTTTATATTGCTTGAATATTTATCAAAATCAAGATTATTCATAATTAAGAATCATCTTATTAACTAGCAAAATTATGACTTGTTAATTTTTGTTCAGTATATCAGTGATATCGCTCGTGCGCTATATATAATATAATTTTTTGCATATTTTATTTTTCAATGACTTACTGCCAGATTTCTGATATTCATTGCCAAGTCCATAATCTGTTTTGTTCCTAAAGTATTTAGACTTATTGCATCTTTTAAACCTTCATCAAAACGTACTGTGGCCGCCACGTGGAAGATCAGACTTACTTTGCTGGTTATCAGGCTGCGATCAGATTCGCTCAAACCTATCAAAATTTATTATACTAACAATAAATAATATAATTGTTAAAAAAAAACAATTAAAATAATAGACCAATTAAAATAATAGAATTAATTAGAATAATTGAAATAATTATTTTAATAGTTTAATAGATCATGCGATCATTGATGATGAACATGCCACGCTATCGATATGTTTGTTAAATAATTTTTAAATAATTTTATCGTTTTCGAAAATTTTCACCCACCAAATCGCCTTAATGTAATATAAATTTCAGAAATGTTAAACTGATATGCAGTATGTCTGGAATATTATATTATTACCTAAATTTTGTAAAGTAACGTCGCCCTTTATCAAAACCAATTTATCTAGTATATCTGGATTTTTATCCCGTATACGATCAAATACCTGGAAAAGATTATATCATAAATTAACATTTTATATTTTTATATTAGCATTTTTAGATTACTTTAGATATACATATATAAAAACATGAAATAGATTAATAGTTTACAATTTAACTTTTTTTTTTCTATTAATGATCATAGAACAATCCTAATATTTCATAGTACCATTTATTACCAAACAGATATAGTTTTAATTTTAATAAATGTTTTTGAGATTTGTGACATTGTGAAACCAAAATTAATTTTATTACTTAAAAGAATTATTTTTATGGATTTCCTTTCCCACTTACTAAATTTTCCTTCAATTTGCAAAATCTCTGCTCCGCGCAGACTCCTCTCTTTCTGCGTAAAAGTACATAAACCTTTTCCAGTGTATCGCAGCAACGTAAAAGCTTTTCCAATAAAGATTTTCCCAGAAAACCTGTACCACCGGTAACAAGTACATGCCGATTTTCATAGAAGTTCAAAATATCATTATCCATAACTAGGTTTGTGATATTATTTTGAATCAAGTGCGGCATTTTGTAAGAATAATTTTGGGGCACGTTCTGAAAACAAACCAAATATAAGTAGATTTATTATCATATTTTTTGATATCAAATAAATATGTGAATTTTTTATAGAGTAAAGAAAAAACAATGTATGATTTTATTTTATTTGTTCCTATCTCTGTGGATGTTTTCTATGAAACTGTGAAAATAAACAATTTTTTTATTACAAAATTGAAAGAATTAATACACACATTGACAAATTAACACACGCAAATTATTTGCAATAATTGGCCACTGCATAAATATTTTACTCATTTCTTTCGGCTTTTAAATTTTCACATTCGGCTCAGATTTTTTTCCCAAAAACGAAACTTTTGCACTTAATTTTTACTATTTATATTTTTTCTATTATTTGTTTAGAACGATTCAGAATGACTTGAATTGTCGAGAAACTTGAAATTAGCAAATTGGATTTTTTGGGGAATGAATACACTTTTTTGGGAAGTTAATTACTAGTTAATTTAATGAAATACTGGTAGTTTTCGTATAATAATTGGTTGAAGCTTAGAAATATGACCATCAACCCATCATATTACACTAACACCTAACACTATTTTTGTATTTTTTTCATCTCTATCTTTGACATGTAAGAACACACCTATCCCCCGTTTTTAGGGGGCGCCCATTAATCACGTCAGGTTTTTAGGGGGAGGGGGGGTTCAGAAACCACGAAATATCACGTGCGGGAGGGAGGGGTATAGTAAGATATCACGTGTATTTATTTTTCAACTGATTTTTTTTTTAAATTCAAACATTTTCAAAAAAATTCAAAGATTTATCACGTAACTAAAAATACACGTAATGTTTGGGGGGAAGGGGGTTTAATTTTGAATATCACCATGTATCACCAAGGGGGAGGGAGGATCAAAAAATCCTTAAAAACTCGCTCACGTGATTAATGGACTCCCCCTAAAAACGGGGGATAGGTGTGTTCTTACATGTCAAAGATAGAGATGACAAAATACAAAAATAGTGTTAGGTGTTAATGTAATATGATGGGTTGTAGGTCATATTTCTAAGCTTCAACCAATTATTATACGAAAACTACCAGTATTTCATTAAATTAACTAGTAATTAACTTCCCAAAAAAGTGTATGGCAAATAGGTGTACGAGTATACCTGAATCAATCTTTAACACTTCAATACTCCAATATTATTTCATAAAGGAATATAGCTTTACGATTATTTGTGGTCTTCTCTCTCAAGTTGAATAATAAATGCGGAAGCGAAATGGATTCAAGATTTTTTGCGGAACCTATTAAATTTATCTTTTGTTTCGGTTTTCTCTTTCAAGAAAGATCACAAG